ATTGTTGTAGAAGATTGTCTACATTTGATGGTCAACTTATTAAGAAACAATGTTTCCAATCARAATTTCTTTAGAGAAGGAAGGTAGGCAGACATAACTATGAAAAATTAAAAAAACATTCAGACTCTTTGTGCTTTTACCCTGATCTCCAGGGGGCATATTCAATTGGCATTCTGGTATTGTCTACTACTAGAGACTTTACTTTTCTCTTTCTTCTCTATTTCCTGCAGCACTCTAACCCTCTTTCCAAGAATTTCATCTTCCTAAATTAGAGTTTTTTTTCTTTTTCAGTGGTTCTTTGACAGGTTGTCTTCTGCCTTCTGATCTTTGTAAAACCTAGCAGTAATATTAAACTTATTCATTGCTTTATTTTTCAGTTTCATTCAAAGGTTTACTCCTTTCTTTGAGATGTCTGCTTTAGCAATGCAAGGTAAATATAAATAGAGCATTTCAATAAAATTTGATATGAGTGATTGTATCTTTTAAGTAATATATAAAATATGAGCAAGAGACCTTTATGGGCATCTAAAACTGTGAGCTGCAAGCAAGCAGTTTTATAGCCTATAAAGGTCGGATGCGAATATTTCATCTTTCTTATCAAATTCCAACATACATGCAAGCTAAAGCATATTTTGCAAAAAATCTTCAAGACAAAAAAAAATATTCATTTGTAAGAGAAAATCAAAGTTAAATTTGTATGCAAATCAGGAAAAATCTCTTGCTCAAATAAAGATGTTGTCACAGCAATGATTTTCCATTGTGTTTAATCATTAATGAATTTGATAATAGTTTTTAGATTGCTCGTTGTTTAACACTCGAAAAGGGTGGCAAATAATCATGTAAATTTTATTGCTCTGTAACTTTCCAATAGGCATTTCTATCCTTTCCTATTTTTCCCTATCTGTAGTCATGCTTTGTGATTTATTTTGTAGGGGAAAATGAGACTGGTTGGTTAGAACAAAAGGTCTCCAATGTACAACTTATGCTTAAGGTACTGTATTTTCACTTGCTTTTAAAAGTGTACACTTTAATTTACCCATTTATTTGTACATTTATTTCTCTATTTTTTCATTTATTCTTTTGTTCTTTTTTCTATTCAATCATAATTATATTCATTGATGGTTTCTTTGTATGGTGGTTATTTCAGGTCGTTAGAATTCTTGTCTCTCCCGACAATCCACAGCAAGCAACTACYGCTGCACAGAAAATGATGAACCAGTCAGGTAAAGAATTAACTTGTGGCATTTTTGCATTTTTAATTTCATCATCATCTCCTAATGTTATACTTACAGCCATTTCACCTTGATTATTTTCGAGACCAGAAAGGGCTGCAAGGAGTCTACTAATGTTATTACCATAAATGAATATTTAATATTTTATTTTTAAAATTTAAAATTAAATTAAGTTGTTTATTGTTTATAGGTCTATTAAAGCTTCTTTGTGATATTCTCATGGCCAGTGGTATTCCAGCAGATATTTTAACAGAGGTAAAGYACATGTC